TGGAGGGCAGCCGGGCGCTGCCGTGCCTGGAGTGGCTTTGCGCTCTCGCTCTCGTCGCTTCTCAAGTTTGGGCAAACTACAGGTAACAAATCCCCCAGGCACGTGTCTTGCTGCAGCCTGGCAGGGCGGCGGGGTGCCCTGCGGGCGGGGTGCCCTGCGGTCGGGATGCCCTGCAGTCAGGGTGCTGCTGTAAACCCCCCGCCCCTGCCTCTGGGGTTTCTGTCCTTGGCTTGAAGTGGGAAAGGCACTTTTCACATCCCACCAAAGCTTGCCTGGCCACACCTACAGGACTCCCTTGTTTTATCTCCCTAAAAATTACCAAGCACCAACTCCAGGCTGTAAATGGCGATGTCGGGTAGGGTTGAAGGAAGAAAACCGTGTAGATACTTAAACTTCTAATGAAAGAAACTCCTAAATCTGTGCTTTATTTCCTAAGAAGGTTTGCAGAATTCACTTGACCTGAACAGTCACCTCCTTCCTTTACTTTGATTTAGGAAACCTTGTGCCCTGGGTTGTTTGGTTTTTTTGTTTGCTTGTTTTTTTCCTTTTTGAAGAGTTACATCTGTAGTGTAGGGCTTCCTTATCTCATGACCCCACCAAAGACTCTGCAGTGGCTTGGGTAGGAATGAGTGCAGTAGTAGGGATGTTCAGGTGGAGGTTGACCAATTGGTGAAGTGTAGAACACACAGAACTTCATACTCGGGAGCCCTTCCTTTGCACACATCTTTTCCCAAAGGCTGGTCCATAGGTGAGCCAGTCGTAGCTCGTGCTCTGAGACATGTTATGGAGCGTCCTCTTCTTGAGTCCATACCTGGAGTGTGTGCAACATGTGGTTGTGTAACAAAAAGGATCTCACCTCAGGTAATGTAAATCTACTTCTGCCTGATGCTACAAAAATGTGGCTTTTTAGTGCTTAATCAAAAGCACTAAAAGGATGGGCAGGGTTTCAAATGCTTTACAGAACCACCGTTGTACTGGCACTTCCAGCTCCCTCTAGTAAGTATTTAGGTTTAGCCCAAGCAAAAGATCAGAGTTAAGGTGAAGGCATGCAATGAGTCTGTATTTTGGAAAAACTTGTAGTGGCTCATGTCTCTGGTGCTGGTTTCTGGGGGACTGTAGTCTGAATGCTTCGTTTCTGTATCTTGGTTTCTCTGTAAATGGAGATGATGCTTTTTAGCAAGATTTGACCAGGACGAAGGACTTCACGTGTCAATGTGTATTGCACAAAATTGTTCTGAATATATGCAAAGCCATGCAAATACCTGTTTTTAAGATACTGTTTTTCATCTGTTCTCTTAAGCACTTGTGATCAGAGCAACAACTATGTTGTTGATAAGTTTGCAAGGAATCTGCTGTTCTCTATGCCGACGGGTGCAGTGATCTTGCTAAGAGGAGACTTACCTGGGAATGCTCTTCGTTATGTTCATTATTGTGAAGGGATGAGGCCAGATATCACCTTAGTGGACCAGGAGGTAGGTTGAGAAAGTAATATTAAAAGAGGCAACAGGCAGATCTAAAAATAGGAGGAAAAAGTTCAGTTGTTCCTTTCTCTTCTCGAGGGGCTCGCTTTGTTCAAATAAAACATGATGCAGCAATAAAATTGAATTTTTTTTTTTTAAAGGGCTGTGGGTGGCTCTGGGATGGAGCGTGGTGTGCAAGCCCCATTCAAGCCCAAAAAGGCAATGGGTAGGCAATAGTGGGGAGAGAGAAAGAGAAGCCCAAGTTTTTCATCTTGCAGATATCCAGATGTGGCACAGGGTTGATGTTTGCCTTGCTGAGGAGGCTTCGTCCCTGCTCTTTTCTGTGGTTGCCCTGAAATACAGATGTTGGGGCAGCAGAAGGCTTCTGGGAGCCGCATGGAGGGCAGCAGGTCAGCAGTTGCCCTGTGGGCAGTGCGGCTTTGGGGTTTCTCCCGAGGACTTCACCATGCTGAGGCTCATTCCCTGCATCCTCTATGTTATCTTGATCCCCCAAAGGTGGTTTTTCAGGTTTCTGCCTCTAGTTTTTTATATTAAAACAGAGGTGCTGTGTGTCCCTGGGTGGAGTTTGCACTCTTCCTTTCTTTTCCTGAGAAACAGGAGAAGAAAAATGCCGCTTGCAGACGCGATGCCCACATGTCCACTGCCACATCTGTCCTTGCACTTGGCGTTGCAGCAAGGGTTTGTGACTTGTTGAGACCCAACGCCTCGTCTTTAACCAGAACCAAAACCTTGTTGTGTCTCTTACCAGCAGTAGTTATTTTGTGTTTCCTTTGCCCCCTCAACAGGGAGGGCTGCATGCTTCTGATCAGAAACCACTGGTGACCTGGTGTGATGGTTGTGGTCCCAGGCAATTGCTGAAACGGGAGGTGACTTTACTGAGCAAATAGAGCTATTCCTCTTGCCGAAAACATTTTCTGCAGCTTCTGGATGTAAAATGGATGAAAACTTTGTTTCTTGTTTTAATTTTGCTTATATTTTCGGTGATAGATGATGACTTATGAATGGTATTTACCCAAGCTGGCAAAGCATTTACCTGGTGTTTATTTTCCTGGGAACCGGTGGAATCCTGTGGAAGGAATATTACCCGATGGGACGCTTGCTTTTAATCTCCATCGTTTCCTCAAAGTAAATAAACAGTAAGCATTTCTTTCATATGTAACAGCTTCCCTAAAATCTTCGACTATTTTTTCTTGAAATTGTTTATGGAGCAGCTTGGTACTGCATCCAAAAGACAATTTTCTCCACTGACTTCCTCCCCAGTGGTGAGATTATTTTTGTAATTAAAGCAAATATGTATACAGAAGTAACTCCATCTGTGTATAATGTTTCTTGTTGTTTTGAGGTTGGTTTGGTTTTTAGGAAGGAAAAAGAAGAAGGTGATCGGCAGAGAGTATTTACTGATTATTTTTGTTGTTGCTGTTGATAGAATTCAACAAAAAAAGGAACATTCCCGTGTACTCAAACTAACAATGGTTGGAGAGCAAATTGCTGCTGCTTCTCCTTCATGAACATTATGGCCAACTGATTAGCATAGAATGAATGTGTTCCAGGAATAATCATCATACAAAAATAGCTTAGTAAGAGTGGAGAAAGGATTAGATACTCACATGAATAAGAATAGCATCTGCATTTAGACTAGCCAGGGTGAGCCTTCTGGGTGTGGGTAGGCAGAAGAGCCTTGCCAGGTGCCGCTGGGAAGAAACGGGCTCCGCCGGCAGCTTCTGGCACATTTTTGAGGTCCAACACAGGGGAGAGGATGTGTCTCCTGTGCTGGCTGCACAAGATGTGCAAAGCCGGGTGGGGTATTCGCTTGCAGCAGGAGAGCCGCTCTGCAGACTGACCCAGAGACATGCCCTTTCCGATGTGAAACGGTCTGGACGGGCATCCGTGTCGCAGAAAATGTTGTGCTGCTTGAGACCTGTCTGCCGCACTGGTGTGGCGTGTGTGGTTTGCTCAAGCATGCGGGGCGGCCCCGGGTCTTGGGCATGGCTTCATGGTTGCTCTCTCTGTTTTTTTGGCAGTAAGGAAGTGTTTGTCTGCATAGGTCTTCATGAAGGGGACTCAACGTGGAGGAGGAGCTATTCTCTCTGGCCGTGGGGTACATGTGAAAAATTGGTTCCTTCCAATGTTGTCTTTGACCCAGGAGAGTGGATTCATCTTACAAGCAATCTCTATAACTGGACTGAAGACTACGGCAGGTACGAGGCAGAGGCATGACTCTGCTCCTTCCTGCACATCATACTTCTGCCAGCAGCATAACCACATCCATTGCAGTGTTAGAGAAATTAAACATGAGCTGTAATCATAATATTTTGTGGTTTGGAATATATAATAAATCCACATGTGGTATTTTTATTAGTATTAAAAATAGAGAAGATGTTTCTAGTCAAATAGCAGGTCCAATTCCAATCTTAAAACTTGATCAGGAGCCAAAAAACATTGAGGGCTTGAGACATGCAAAGCTTTAAATGTCATAGACTGAACTGTGATGGATGGTAAAAAGCACCTCTCATTTTGAGGATAGCTAGGATGCTGTGAAACACCTGATATACCGGAGGCTCCTTCTATGGAGAGAGAGGAATAAAGTGTTATGAATGACTGAGGATCAGCTGAACTCCCTGCTGTCAGAGCTATAGGCTTCATGACAAGTTTTCTTCTGCCTGGGAGGTCTGTATCTGCTTGGGTTAGAAGGGTTGATTGTGTGGTGGGTGAAACACAGTGACATGGATCTGATGGCTGAATTTTATTCTCATTCCCATTTAGTTTCAAGCCCTCTTCCTGGGAAGCTGTTGCCAATGAGGAGATGTGGCAAGCCAGGTGATGCTCCTTTGCTCCCTTCCAACAGCCGGTGGGCGACGCCAACTCACTGGTGTGGAAATACACACCAAAGCGGGCAGCTCGACGGTGCATGGCCTTATTGGTTATAAATGTACCAAGCTCTGGAAGGAAAAAATTGTCAGAATGAGTTGAAGGGTGCATGGCCTCCGGCAAATCCTTCAGGAAAGTGGTGGTTTTGTTCACCAAAAGGCTCTGCTCAAAGTATCTCAAAGGAGCGGAGGGTGGTTTGGGCATCGGGTGAGAAAATGCGTCATGGAGAGAAGTTTCTATCACTGACGACTTAAATGGAGAAGCTGTTGTACTGTCCCATACAGTTGAAAAGCTGCATGGACATATTGAAGATGTTTATAACAATGTGATGTGAGCTGGTTACGTTAAGCAGTTATTATATGGAAGTTCTTCTTCTTTTTCTAGGATGAAAACAGCTTTCTTTATATTTGACCTTGCAGAAACTGCCAGTGTGACTGCAGAAATGAAATCACAACTTTACACCTTTGCATACACCGTAAGTCATATATTTCGGTTACAAATGATCCCTGCAGTCTCCATCCTTTTTTTTCTTTTCTTTTTTTTTTTTTTTTAGGCTTCTTGCTTCCACAGAAATACGGTGTTCCCATATAGGTCAGCAATCCTGTAGTCTGCATTCTCCTTTGTTCATCCAAGCTGAGAGCATAGCAGATTCAAAGAGATTTGTTCAGGGATTTTATCCATTCCTACTTGCCCCCTCGGTCCCGGAGGATGCCAAAAGCTAACCAGTCAACACCCTGCTTTTGCTATAATTATGTTGTCTGTGCTGGGCTTCAAACCCATGCCAAGAGATTGCTTGTCCTGAAGTCCCCTCTATGCACTTGTCCTCTCTGTCGTTACACAGTCATGCATCTGAGCCAGCGACTGTAAAATCTCATGGTCTCTTTGCTGCAGATTAATTCTGCTGCATTTCACACCAAAGAATAACACCCATAAGTGGGTGTAGGGATCTCTGGAAATACTGGACTGCCCAAGACGCCAACAGATGCACAAAACGATCAGTGTGGGTCAGCAGAGGAAGAGTGTTTCATACCCCGGCAAAGAGTCAACAAATAGTTTTCCTTTTAACTCTTGCCCGTTTTGCAGTGATTTTTGCTGTTCTGCAAAGTTCTCGGGTGTGTGCCTGCTGTTGAGCTTATGAATATTCCCACTCAAGTCAACTGACTGCTTAAGTCTGCGGAAGAAGTCCTGATCTCCTGAAATACGGAATAAATGTCTTTCCAGGCATGGCAGTTAAATCTCTTTTTTTCCCCACCTCTCTCGGGGAAGCGCATAATGTGCGGCGGGGTTATCGCGATCATCTGTAACGTTTCTAAACAAACAGCTGCTGTAGGAAGGGAAACCTTTCAACCCCCCCTTGGATTTCTGATTCACGCTATTGCACATCGCGTGGCAAACACGGAGTTACAGAAATGCTCCGACTCTGGACTTGGACGTATAAATAGCATCTGTTCCTTTACAGGCAATTTTGAAGCACTGTTAAGAGCTGTTGGTCCCCTTCATTCAATTAATTTGTAATTTGTCGTCTGCCCCCCCCGCTTTTTTTTCTCCTTTGAACAGTTATACAAAGAAATTGTCAACTCTCATCCAAATCACCCGGTGAACTGGCACAAAAACTACGCCATCGCCTGCGAGAGGATGTTGCGTCTCCGTCGGGTGGATGTGGATCCCGAAGCGTTGCTCTCCGAAACTGTGAAACATTTCCTTCTGTACACTGAGAAAGCGGAGGACGATCCCCAGCGGCAGGATATTCTGCAGGCTGTGAAGCACCTGAAGAAAGAGCTGCAGGGGCTGAGGAAAATGAAAGAAGATCTGAGGCGGGGAGCTGGTTAGCAGCTGGTCCTCTGCCCACCTGCTGGAGTGCTGAAATTTTGAAGTCAGGACTTAAAATCTGAATTAGTCCTTGACAACATGAGAAGGTTTTAAAAGGTGACGGAAATGGCAGCAGAGAGGAAATCACGTGTGATTGCCTTGGCAGGAACATACTCTTGTTTGGTCTTTAATTGCTGTTGCCAAATGAACTGTTTGTGTTGTTTTGTGCGGGGCGGGGGAAGCTTGTCACTAAATAAAATACTGGGCTTCGCAAAGGAGAGTTTTCTTTTAAAAGAAACCTGTGAATCTGTTGTGCTGTGAAGATTATTTTTTTTTAATGAATGCAGCATCCTTCATAGATGCAAAAAATTTAGCCTTTAAACGTTTCTTCTGTTACTGAGCCATGAGGTTTTTTACAGCCGTTTTTCTTTAGCTGTGCTGTGTCTGGTTTCGTGGTCATGGGGCAGCATGGTTGGGTGGGTTTCCGTCAGGTCGAGCGTGTGGGACGGTGCCCTTCTGGGGAGCGTGACTGTTCGCTGTTCCTGGGCTGCGCCTGTGCCCGGGAGTGCTGCCGACACGATGTTCTCCTGGCATGGGATGCGGGTACAGACCAGCTTAGCTCTTTCTGCTTCCCTTGCCTTGCAGGGGTGGTTATTTCCATTACAGTGGCATTTTATGCTGGGACAGACCTCATTGCACTAGTTCTCCAATGCCCAGCGAGCAACTTGTTGATTTTCCCTTGCAGAGCACCGTGACCACAGGCAGCGGCGCAGCATCTCCTGCGCTGGCTGACCGGGAGCAGAGGCACCGTGGTGCTGAGAGCCTGCACAGGGGCACGAGAGCAGCTCCCCTGGGACACTGCTCTGCCCGTGGCTCGCGGCATCTGCGCTGTGGCCTCTTTCCGCGCGAGCCCGTAACGCTCTTCTACTCTGCCACGTCCTCGCAGGTACTGGGGGTGCCAGAACTGCAATTTTAGAGATGCCAAGAGCTTTAACCAAAGTATAGAGTGTGAGTCCATCCTGCTTTTCAGTCTACCCCAAAGGCCAAGCGACTTACTGAACAAGAGCTCAGCCATGTGTTTTTCAAAAAAAGAAAGACATAAAATAGAATGTCTTTCAAAATGTTGTCAGGTTGACATGTCCTTCAAATGCTTAAAACAGACCCAAAACTCTGGTATTGTTAGTGGAAAGCTGTGTTTGTCAGAATTTTTGTACTTTGTTCCGTGGTTCTGTAAGAACTCAGCCCAGTGTTTTTATAGGAGAGAAATTGCTGCCAGCCTAGGATTTCACCTGGGCTAATAAAATTTTCAGAGAAGAAGGAATTATCTTCTGTAAAGATCATGTTATCACAAGTGGCACCTCTGGAAGCTTCCCAGTGGCTTGGAGGAGCAGATCGGGACGTGCGTGGGAGTGAGGGGTGTTGCGTGCGGGTGCTCTGTTGGTCTGTGGCTTGAGGTGCGTGTAGGTGCAGATTTAGGCTCGCGTGGCTACTAATCCTAATAGATCCCTTTAAAAGTATAGAATACTTTTTCGTTGTTCTCTGCAAGTGCTGAATTTTCCCAGGTTGACTCTCATTGAATGCTGCTTGTATAAAAATCAAGCTGCTGTCTAGAAATCTCTAACTCCAATTGCAAAATAACATCCTTTATTTTTCTCCCTCTTGCTCTGATTTATTTGTATAGTATGATTCCCATAGCAATTCCCCTGTTACTTCTATAAACAATTCCCATACACACAGAGCTACATAGACCAGATGAGAAATGAGCAATAAAAAGAAATAAAACTACAGCTTCTGGGTTGCAAAGCCACAAAGCAGAGGGGAGAGGGGGAAG